TTAGGCTTAGGGTATACTTAGGCTTAGGCTTAGGATATACTTAGCCTTAGGCTTAGGATATACTTAGGCTTAGGTTTAAGCTTTATTTCAAATCTGAAAATTGATTTTGGTGAAAATTTTATAATTTGCAAGAGTTTTTGTATATTAAGAGGGGAAAGAATTTCTAGTTTTATCAATTTTGATTTTAATTAAATTTTCATTGATTTTAATTTAAATTTAATATTCGAGAAGTGATATTAATAAAATTTTAATTTATCGTAGATTTAATTCATTTCTGCAGCTAAAATTAGTTTTCGCTTGAAATTTTAGGATCGAATTTTATGAAAATTTTATGATTTGCAATGAATCAAAACCTTTTTTGTATATTAGACTACGAACTAATTTCTAGTAATATCAAATTTTACTTTAATTAAATGTTAAACTGTTAAAATATATTAAAAGTCTATTCGAGCAATTTTATTACATACATGGTACCGGTCATATATTGGTCAATTGATCAGCATGAATAATAAAATAAACTTTAAAATTAAGTTTCAATAAATATTAACTAGCGGAATTGATTAAATCTTTAATTTATCACGGTTTTAATTCATTCTTACAATTCAAATTAATTTCTATTTCAAACCAGTACTTATGTAACGCTTATAAATTAATAAATTAAGTTCAAGTCATATAATTTTTTTTAATGATTCGATTCTTTTCAATATTTTGACATTTAATTAAAATGATTTTTTGATATTGCTAGAATTTATTTCATAGTTTAATGTACAAAACCCTAACAAATTATTGAATTTTCATAAAATTTGATATTTAAATTTGAAATAGAAATTAATTTGAATTCTAAGAATGAATTAAAACCGTGATAAATTAATGATTTAATCAATTCCGCTAGTCAAATATTTATTGAAACTTAATTTTTAAAGTTTATTTTATTATTCATGCTGATCATTTGACCAATTATAAATGACCGGTACCCATTTAATGCATAAAAATTAATCAATTAAGCTCGAAATATCTGACTTTTTTTAATGAATATATATTTTTTAACAGTTTTAACATTTAATTAAAATCAAAATTGATATTACTAGAAATTATTTCGTAGTCTAATATACAAAAAAGGTTTTGATTCATTGCAAATCATAAAATTTTCATAAATTTCGATCTTAAAATTTCAAACAAAAACTAATTTAGCTGCAGAAATGAATTAAATCTACGATAAATTAAAAATTTTATTGATATCACTTCTCGAATATTAAATTTAAATTAAAATCAATGAAAATTTAATTAAATTTTATAATTTGCAAGAGTTTTTGTATATTAAAGGGGGAAATAATTTCTAGTTTTATCAATTTTGATTTTAATTAAATTTTCATTGACCATTTTTCTTGTTAAATGTGCGAAAACTATTACAAATTTTAAAATTTTTAAAAAATTCAAAATTGAATTTGAAATAAAATTTAATTTTAATTCTTAAATTAAATTAAAACCATTATTAATTGAAAGTTTTAATAATTTTGCTGATGAATTTTTGAATAAAACTTAATTACAAAAGCGGATTTTAGTTTTTAACCTATAAAATGACCACATAAATATATGACCCGCCCTGGTGCAATGCATACAACATAATCAATTGAGTTCAAAATATTGCTATTTATTGTGGTTTTGGCACTAAATTAAAATTAAAATTGGTAATTTAGAAACCATTTTTCTTGTTAAATGTGCGAAAACTATTACAAATTTTAAAATTTTTAAAAAATTCAAAATTGAATTTGAAATAAAATTTAATTTTAATCCTTAAATTAAATTAAAACGATTATTAATTGAAAGTTTTAATAATTTTGCTGATGAATTTTTGAATAAAACTTAATTACAAAAGCGTATTTTATTATTTTAACTATAAAATGACCACATAAATATATGACCCGCCCTAGTGCAATGCATATAACAAAATCATTTAAACAAAATCGCATAAAATATTTAAAAAAAACTTTAATAAATAACTTTTCATCAATGTTTTATTAGCAAAATTTATTAAATTCTTTATTTGTCACGGTTTTATTTCATTCTTACAACTGTAATTAATTTATTTTCCAAATTTAAATAACATAATTTAAGAAAATTGTGCAGTTTTCAAAAGTTTTTGCATATTAAACTATGAAATAAATGCCGGTGTTGTCAAATTTCAATTTAATTAAATGTTAAAACTGTTAATAATTATATATTCATTAATAAGAAAGAGATATTTTGAACTTAATTGATTAATTTATATGCATTGCATGGGTACTGGTCATTTACAGTTGGTCAATTGATCAGCATGAATAATAAAATAAACTTTAATAATTAATTTTTAATTAATACCTGATAGGCAAAATTAATTAAAATTTTAATTTGTAACGGTTTTAATCCCTTGTTACAATTATAATTAATTTTTATTTCAAATTTAAAATTTAAATTTTATGAAAATTCATTAATTTACTAGAATTTTGCATATTAATCTACAAAATAAATTCCAACGATATCAAAAACTACTTATAATTAAATGTTAAACTATTTTAAAATTTCAATTCATTAAAAGAAAAATGGATACTTTGAACTTAATTGATTAGTTTGTGTGCATTGCATAGGTATTGGTCACGTACATTGCGGTCATTTGACCAGCATAAGTAATGAAATAAACATTAATAATTGAGTTTTTTTTAAATATTTGACAAGTGAAATTAATAAAATTTTTAAATTGTCCTACATTTAATTCATTTCTGCAACTAAAATTAATTTTTATTTCAAATTTAAATATCAGATTTTCTGAAAATTGTAAAATTTTTAAAGTTTTTTCATATTAAACTATAAAAAAATCCCGATATTGTCAAATTTCATTTTAATGAAATTTTAAAATATTAAAAAACGTCAAATCATTAAAAAAAGTAAATATTTTGAACTTGATTAATTCTTATGCATTGCATAGGTACTGGTCGCATACATTGTGGTCATTTGACCAGCATAAATAAACTTTAATAAATTAGTTTTAATCAATATTTGATTAGCAAAACTGAATAAAACTGAATTTAGAAGCAAAATTAATTAAATTTCTAATTTGCCAATGTTCTAATTCATTCCTACAATTACAAATAATTTTTGTTTCAAATTTAAAATTTAAATTTTATGAAAATTCATTAATTTATTAGATTTTATTTTAATTTTTTTTTATTTTTTTTTAAATTTATTTTAATTAAATTTAAATATATATATAATATATAAAAAATGTCAAATCATTTAAAAAATTAAATATTTTGAACTTGATTAACTAATTTTTATGCATTGGATGGGTACTGGTCATTGTGATCATTTGACCAGCATAAGTAATGAAATAAACATTAATAATTAAGTTCTGAGTAATATTTCAACTGCAAAATTAATTAGATTTTTAATTAGTCACGTTTTCAATTCATCCTAACAATTAAAAATAATTTTTATTTCAAATATAAATATTAAATTTTAGGAAAATCGTATAATTTTTAAAAGTGTTTGTATATTAAACTGTGAAATAAATCCCGGGTTGGTCAAAATTTATTTTAATTAGATGTTGAAATATTAAAAAATATCAGATCATTAAAAAAAAAAAGATATTTTGAGCTTAATTGATTAATTTTTATGCATTGCATGGGTACTGGTCATATATATTGTGGCCATTTGGTCAGCACAAATGATTAAATAAACTTTAATAATTAAGTTCCGAATGATATTTCAGTAGCAAAATTAAATAAATTTACTGTTCTAATTCATTCTTACAATTATAATTAATTTTTATTTCAAATTTAAAATTCAAATTTTGAACTGCTTGCAACAGCAATTTGCGACAACTGCTTGCTCCTTACAGGTATTGCGATTCGTAATGTTCACAGCTGAGGATAGAAATGATGAGCAGAGGGAAGAAATCGTAAGTTCTCTTAGGCAGTGAGCTTTCTTCTGTGGTAGTAAATTCTATTTCTATTGTCAGTTGGCTACCATCCATTTCCCGAAAGAGACAAAGAAAAAGAAAAACTTTTTAAAAGAAAAAGGCCTTTGTAGATCAATTTTGATAAAATTCTTTATCTTCAAAGCAAATCATTACAATTCTCTCCTTGACTCCTACAAATCGTTTACATGAGATTTACAACATAACTGAAAACATCAGACATGGAAAAAGAAACAAAAGCAGCCTTTTCAAAGCTAATTATTCAGACAATCAACAGATGTCTTGTCGAGCCAAAACAACAAAAAGTGAGGAGAAGCCTAAAATAAGCTCCAACAAAGTTGGATTCAGTATTTTTCATTGATTTAGCACATCATATCCTATCTTTCGACAGATCCATGTCTTAAAAATTTTGAAGTGAACTTTGTCTAAATTACAGGAAGCAAAGAGCAAACATATCCAACAGCGTAAAGCGTTAGGTCGCAAAAGTAATATATGTGATGAAACGATCCGGAAAATTTGTACAAAGCTTGAAATATCCAACGAATAAAAGAATTTAAAATCTACGATGCTCTGAATGATGGATGTATTTGTCGAAATTTTTTCATTGAACAGGTATCGGGAGATTGGCACTTACGAGATTAATTTTTGAATAGAAATAAAAAAATAAATTGAAAATCTCATTCTGATTACAAATCCTTCAGAACGCTTCATTCTTTTCACTGCTATCAATGTGATTAACATGTTTTTTTCTTTCAATAAGTATTTTTTTCAAATAAGAGCAATCAAATAAGTATTACCTGCTCAGAACTTTATCTAATTAATTCCTTCAATTAATTTCCATAACGCGACAGAAAGATAAAGCTATGGGAAATCCAAGCTGTGAAATACTTATTTCTATGGGAATTATTTTCTTGCCACATCATCTTCTTGACCTGCTAGCTTGGCAACTGACCAGTCATCACGCAATCATCGAGCCAATCATCCCACAATTCAGAATGCCTAATAATGCGTACTATATGATGCTAAATTTAAACTAAAATTCGTAAATATGCAAATTTCAGCATCAGTTCGTCTTGGCATAGGCGACTTCATTTTCTATAGTTTGCTGGTAGGTAAAACCGCGACACGTAGTATAATGTACGTTGCTGACTCAATGGCTGGCTGGCTGGCTGGCATACTCACCCTGGCAGTATTGTCTAGCTACGATGAACCCACTCCAGCACTGTCTGTTCCGATCGATTACCATCGCTGTACTGCTACATCCCGGCATTTATCTGTTCGTCGAACCATTCTATAATCGAATTGTGGTGATCACAAAATTATTTACCTCTAGACAAAACAGAACTATCTCCACCATATGACTTCTCCAGTTGCAGTGAAGTTCATCACTTCATAAATTTGATACATGCCAAAGATCATAAGGGATCATCTTAGTGACAGCATATTTTGCATTAAAAAACAATACAATGGAATCAACGCTACATTATGAAAGAAATAACGAATAAATAAAAGAAAGTGAGAATGCAATCAACAATGCAAATTTAAGAATAAACTTTAAAATACGAAGATGAAACAAAGGAGTCAAAAAGTATGCAATATAAACTAATTAAAAATACAATACATTCTAGGTATAAATAAATAAAACGACGAATACTATTATTATTATTACAACAAATTTAACACTTTAAAAGTCAAAGAGTGAAGCAGTTGAATTAAATCCTTGCTGAACACCACCGGTGCTGAATTCATCAATGTTGAAGTGATACAGCCAAGCATTACGCCGAAACAATTAAGTTGCAATTCAAAGCAGCATAACAGCCAAAAAAATTCCACTAATCCTAGAAATTCAATCTGTATTAATATTAGATTCAAGATTGAATGTTTCGTAAAATGTGAGCCGAGAAAAGTTAAGCAGTAAATCATTAAATTTCATCTTATAAATGTTTCGTATAAGATCAATTGATTCAGACAATGAAACTTAACTATTACATGCTTCTCTCAAAACTTTACTTCGCCGAAATAACTATTTATTACAAATACCGATTGCCCTTCAACTTGAAATTACTATTTTACATGTATTTTGAAAAAAGCTTTCAGAAAAAAATTATTCTTCAAAGTGCTAAGGAAAACGAAGATCAAATAATCTAATCTATTGTGAGTCTCAAACTGCGGATGGTAATCTATGGCAAAACAGCCAAGAGGGACAAGAATTTTAAAACAATATTTTAAAATTAAGAATGATGTAGAGTTGTTTTCAAAGCTAGAAAGTGATTTTAACGATGCTATCAATTTAATGAAATCCACTATTGATGAAAACGGTGAAGAGTTTTTCTCCGAAATTGAAAATGAATTACTAAAATCAGAGAAATTAGTCAAGCGTAAAGAAACAAATTTCTTATTTACTGATGGAGCAGATAATAATTAATGATTGCTTTTAGAAATCCACTCAGGAGTTGGTGGAACAGAGAGCGGTGATTAGACTGAAATGTTGATGTGCATTTGATAGATATTAATATCTATTCGATATTAACCAGGGTATCTTTTGCCCTTTTCATTTAATTAAAAATTTAACTAATTTTATCATGATGCTTGTCTCCCAATCATTCAAGTAGCGTAACAATTCACCAATGACAGATTTCAATCTTTCCTCTCAAAAAGAAAAAAAAATGAGTTGGCTTTTTGTCGTAATCTACGATAATTAAAACATTATTTAAAAAGGGATGACAATGAAATATGAACATATAGTGGAAAGAAATATTAAGTGCAATCGATAAAGAAACAATTAAGTAAAGATAACGCAATTGCAATAATAAAAGAGAAGTTAAAAAAATGGATTTAAGTACATATGGAAGGAAACTAATTTTGATATAAATCACTCATTTGCAGTGAAAAAATGGACTATTGCATTTGCTGTTCACAATAATCTAAAAAGTGTGGTGAACGCTTTATTTGGGTGGAAGGAATTGATATTAATGCAGTGGACAAAGATACATTTGGCTGTTGAGAAGTCATATTGCTATAGTGAAAAATCTGTTAGAAGTAAAAGCATATGTCAATGTAGGAGATGATGATGATAAATGCACTCCCTCACATGTATCACGGGCGCACAGACAACAGAAACTCTAATAGAAGCAGGCGTAAATGTTAATGCAGACAATAAAGATAAATGCACTCCTCCACATATAGCTACTCAGTTCCTGTCGTGAAGAGATTAGTAAAAGTCCTAATAGAAGCAGGAGGAGAAGATGTTCGTGCAGCAGATAAATATGGAATAACCCCTTTACATTTTCCTGACGATGCAGAGACAGTAAAAACTTTAATAGGAGCGGGAGCAAATGCTAATGCAGTAGATAAAGACAAGCGCACTCCTTGTTTACATTGTATCAAGCAAGCAAGGGTGCACAGATACTCGATATAGCTGCAAAGGAGTAATTAAGAGTTTAATAGGGAAAAGAGTAAATGTTTTGTTAGAGAATAATGATGGTAAAATCCCGAGCGATTTTAACAAAAGTCACTACATAATTAAGAGGTGAAATCTTTGGTCTGGAGAATGAAGTGATTTGACCAACAGAGTAAAATGTCTTTTGTTGTTTTGGTTTAACAATATTATTTGGTGATACTGCACAGCAACAACACTTTTTGTAACTGAAACAGTTACAAGTCGCATTCGGGCTATCCTAAAATAGCAACAGTAGTTGTAGTTGCAGTAATAGCATGGGTGGTGTCTTGTGTTGCGACTAAAATATTAGAACTTAGTACTAAAATAGAAATGAAAGCAATACAATAAATGAAAATATGTAGAAAGCACCTTCTTAACTTAAGCATACAGTTATAAAGCTTCACTACTACTAAAATCTTATAGAGTTATATATACTTTATCTTCGCTGTGTGTCACTGTGTTATATATTTTGTACTTAATTGATTAATTTATATGCATTGCATGAGTACTGGTCATTTACAGTTGGTCAATTGATCAGCATGAGTAATAAAATAAACTTTAATAATTAAGTTTTAATTAATATCTGATAGGCAAAATTAATTAAATTTTTATAATACCAAAAATTTATAAACTATAAAAAAACAATAATTTATTAGAATTTTGCATGTTAAACTATAAAATAAATTCTAATAATACCAAAAATTTATTTTAATTAAATGTTAAAATATTAAAATATATCAATTCATAAAAAAAAAAAAACTAGATATTTTGAACTTAATTGATTAATTTTTATTCATTTCATGGATACTGGTCACATACATTGTGGTCATTTGACCAGCAAAAATAATAAAACCAAGTTTAGAAATTGAATTCTGAATGATATTTTAGAAGCAAAATTAATTAAATTTTAATTTGCCACTGTTCTAATTTATTCTTACAATTGAAATTAATTTTTATCTCAAATTTAAATATCAAATTTTATGAAAATTCAATAATTTGTCAGGGTTTTGTATATTAAACTATAAAATAAATTTCAGTAATGTCAAAAATTTATTTTAATTAAAAATTAAAATAATGAAAAATATTAATTCATTAAAAAATAGGCATTTTGAACTTAATTGATTAATTTATAAGAGTTGCATAGGTACTGGTCATTTACGGTTGGTCATTTGACCATTTAGATAATAAACTAAACTTTAATGTTTAAGTTGTAAAAAATATTTGAGTACCAATGTTAATAAAATTTCTAATTTCTTAATGAGTAAAATTTCTTATGAATTTCAGTGGGTGCACGGGTAATTATAGTAGTAGGCAATGTGTAATAGGATTAAGCTATTGTAGGGTTAGGGTTCAATTTTATAGCTCTGTCACTTTTAGTAATAGATAGAATTGTGGGTTCCAGCTTTGCTAGCGCTTGTAGCTATAGGATTGCTGCTATCGCAATGATATTAACGAAAAAAAGGAAGGAAAGACTTAAGTAATAGCAGCAGCAGTAGCAGCAGCAACAGTACTGATGATCTCTATGTCATCGGCAAGTGTTGCTATGAGTTTGTCCTGCTGCAACCGCAAATGCTGCTATTCTTCTTGGTGTATTTGCAACTTGGTGGGAAATAGCAGCGGTAGATTATTACTCAAAAGCAATGCTTTAAAAGAATCAAAAGTAGAGAGAGATATGAAGAATTATTTGCCTTCTTAAAGAGTTCAAAAGCCTATATAAAAGGCACGCATATGACATTTGCAGATATTTTCAATCCGCAGGAAATTGCAGATCTAATCAGTTACTTGAGTGTCAAGTAAACGATAGTCAGGTTGCTATACCAAAATAACATGGATTACAGCATTACTTTGCTTGATGAAAACAGTAAGTACATAGCACATTGCGAGCTACAAAGGAAAAAAAGCTTCCATATTCTATTTCGGTGGATTTTCATTAAATATGAACGGAATTAGAATAGCTGCTATTTAAAAATTTTGTCAAGAAACTCATGTAGCATTTGTGTTATTTGATTACTTTGGTCATGGTTATTGGTTAGTCAGGTGCTGATTATACTGATTACACGATGAGTGATTGGCAAAAAATTGTGTTAGAGTAACTCGTAACGGCAAGCAAATAATTATAGGTTCAAGCATGAGACGGTGCCTGATGCTGCTCATTGCTCTCCAACTTTCAGAAAGAATTGCAGCACTAATTGGTGTATCGTCTGCTCCTGACTTTACTGAAGATTTAATATTCTATCAGCTATCCGAAAGCAAAAAGAAGAATTAGATTCTAAAGGAGTAATAGATTTTACTTCTGAGCATTAAATATACAAAATAACTAAAAGCTTGGTATAGAAGATGAAGATGGCAAAAAGCTTCTTTTAAATAAAGAGACAATGGATATATAAACTGCCCTGTGCGTTTATTGCACAGTATTATTGATGATGATAATACTATATTCCTTACCAACTTCGTTAAATTTAGTCAAGGAGTTGAGGTGCATCTGATGAAGACAGTAAGTAGGTAGAGAGCATAACATCTCTGACAATCGTTCATTGGAATTTTTACTTCAGATGATTTAGAGAGTTTTTGCTCTGTTTAGGACTCATCATTTTGCAAGGGAGATTTTCATTTGGGAGAGCGACCAGAACCGAACTAGACGCACTCAATGCCACAAGCTAATGCCCTACCAGCTGTAATTGCGCACTAATTTAGTACTCATATCATAAGGCAGGAACGATCTTCTTGAAAGAGAGTGAGCAGAGCCGAACTAGCCGAACTTAGTACCCACAAGCTGATGCTCTACCGACTGAGCCACACCGACCAAAGCGCTCTGTTTCTCATACATAAGTACAAAAAGAAAGCAGCAAAAAAAGTCA